GCCCACAGAGAGGGCTCTGAGTGCCGCCTCTGGCACCCGTGCCATAGGTTCGCCACCACTGCTCTATATGATCTATGGAACTATGAACTTTGGTGCTGGAGAAGACTCCTGCGAGTCCCCTGGACTGCAAGGCGATCAAACTGGTCAGTCCTAGAGGAGATCAACCCTGACGGCTCTTTAGAAGGCCAGATCCTGAAGTTGAAACTCAAATACTTTGGCCACCTAATGAGAAGGAAGGACTCACTGGAGAAGAGCCTCATGCTGGGAAAGATTGAGGGCAACAGAAGAAGGGGACGACAGAGAATGAGGTGGATGGATGGAGTCACTGAAGCAGTAGGTGTGAGCTTCAATGGACTCCAGAAGATGGTCAGAGGACAGGAAGGCCTGGAGGAACGTTGTCCATGGGGTCGCGATGGGTCAGACACGACTTCGCAACTAACAACAACAACATATGATCAACAGAAAACTGGGAGAGGGGGTGGAAGCTTTGCACTCCAGACTGATTAACTGTGTTAATCAAAGAGATAGAGAAGTTCCTCCCTGTGCGCAGCTCAAACAACCATAAAAATAATTTTAAAAAAAACAAAACTTTTATTTGAGGTTTTTAAAAAAAGGAGCACCGATTACTTATAGGAGTTTGACTCAAGAGCTAACGTCTTTTTCTCTTGTGTTTTCGACCAAAACAGCAGAGAAAAATGGCTCCAGTTTACCAGAAATGGCAGTGTTGCCTTTGTATAAAAATGACCTTCACTGTAAAACAGATCACCTCATCAAAAGCATATAGCAGGGGTAGTCAACCTTGGCTCTTTTATGACTCGTGGACTTCAATTCCCAGAATTCCTGAGCCAGCTTAGCTGGCTCAGGAATTCTGGGAGTTGAAGTCCACGAGTCATAAAAGAGCCAAAGTTGACTACCCCTGGCATATAGTTTCCGGTGCCTGGAAATATGACTGCTTAGCTTCATGAGGAAGGATGCCAGGTAGCCTGGCAGCTACTTCCTAACTCAAAGAGCCCTGGGAAAATGGGAGGGAGAAAGGTTGTCATTCTTGTGGCTGACAAGGCAGTGGAGAACCTTAGAAGGATCCTTCTAAGTCATCACTAAGCTTTGCTCCATATGCCTCTGTGAGGCAGAGGAAAGAAAACAGATCTGTGTTATTTTCTGTAATGTTCCAAGCTGCTAATGGAGCCTCCAACCGTCTGGTGGCAGGAGCAGGTCAGAAGGCTAATTTCTTCATGAGGAGGTAGACCCTTGAATCCACTTCAAAGCCGTGCAAGTTGTTGGCATCTCCCTGGAGTCTCATGAGCAGGCCGCCATAGGAGACGTAGGCAGAGCTGGAGGAAGGGAAGAGAAGGGTGAGAGAGAGAGAGGAGGCAGCCTGCTCACAGTTGTAAAGAGAGAAAATGTCCTGAAGAGGTCACACCGCCACATGCTGCCTCGGCGTTCCTCAACCCTGGCTGTTTGAAGATGTGTGGGCTTCAACTCCCAGAATCCCCCAGCATGGGAGAATTGAAGTCCACACAACTTCAAGCAGCCGAGATTTGAGAAACGCTACGGATGACGGCGAATGACACTGCGCTCGCGATACATCACGACTGTCCTCTGCCGTACAACTTCTTAGATCATCCCTTCTTTAATCTTCTGTCCTCAAGAGGTTGTATATCACATCGTTTAGTCAGTCCCTACTCATGCTATTTAGGAAATGAGGGAGTTGAAGACCCAACCATGTGGAAAATATCAGGTTAGTTAGGGGGAGAATCTTAAAACAGTCAGCCTTTCCCGTTATCTGCAATCTGGTCCCTTTATTGAACTGAAGATGCAAAAATAGAACGATCTTCGCGGAAAGCAGATGTTCTTACCAAACTGGATGAACCACATGTTGCTCAAAGCCAGGGGTCTCCAAAACCTGGAAACTTTTTAAGACTTGTGGACATCAACTCCCAGAATTCCCCAGCGAGCACAGCTCGCTGAGGAATTCTGAGAGTTGAAGTCCACAATTCTTAAAGTTGCCAAGCTCTAAGCCATAATGCAGATGGTTTGGCGCTTAAAACCATGGCTTATAGATTTAGCACAATGAGCAAAAGGACCACCCAAAAACCATGCACAGGGGACTCATAGCAACAGCAATAGCACTTAAGACTTCTATACTGCTTCATATCGCTTTACATCCCTCTCTAAGTGGTTTACAGAGTCAGCATATTTGCCTCCAACAATCTGGCTCCTCATTTTATCGATCTCGGAAGGTGGGTCAACCTTGAGCCGGTGAGAATCGAACTGCTGGCAGTCGGCAGAATTAGCCTGCGATACTGCATTCTAACCACTGCGCTACCGCAGATCGTAAGCTCAGAAAGTCTAATGCATTTTGAGAACGGAATGGGGCAACTTGCCATAGCCAAGTCATCATGGTCAACTCGCCATGGCCAACATGCAGTGGCCAAATTGCCGCAGGACAGCTCACTGCGGAACAATTCTATTTAATTATATAAAACCATTTAAAAATTATTTTAGTTTTTGTCATTCCCATTTGATTTTGTCCTTCCTTTCGCATCCTTTCTTTAATGAGCCTATTCAACTATTTCTTCGATATCAGTGTAACTCTTGCCCCTTGGCAAGTCGTCCTGTGGCTTGACCGTGGCAAGTTGTCTTGCAGCTAATCAGCTGCAGCGAGTTGGCCACAGCAAGTTGCCGTAGACCAAGGGTAGGCAACCTTGGCTCTTTTATGACTCGTGGACTTCAACTCCCAGAATTCCTGAGCCAGCATGGCTCAGCTTGGAAACCTCTCCCTTTCCCCTCAGCATGGCTGGCTCAGGAATTCTGGGAATTCTGAAGTCCACGAGTCATAAAAGAGCCAAAGTTGCCTACCTCTGCCCAAATGCCTGAATTTTGATCACGTGACCGCGAGGAAAAAATATTTAAATATTTAAACCAGAGGTCTTCAAACTTGGCCCTTTTATGACTCGTGGACTTCAACTCCCAGAATTCCTGAGCCAGCATGGCTCAGCATGGAAACCTCTCCCTTTCCCCTCAGCATGGCTGGCTCAGGAATTCTGGGAGTTGGAGTCCACGAGTCATAAAAGAGCCAAGGTTGCCTGTCCCTGCCTTAGACCTTCAAACAACATCCTCTGTCCGAATCCAACCAATCAAGTTACGGCTTTGTATGATGTCAAAACACAATCACTCTTCAGCCTATTTCAGAAGGGGACACTCACAGGCGTGTGGCTGCTTCTGTTGATGTCTCATCACCCTCAATCCTGTACACCTTCCCATACATCACATATTCAAACTGGTCCGCCCTGTGAAGAAGAAGAATCGGCCAAAAGAAGGGAACATACATTAAAACATATTTTACATACATATTTTAATTGATTGTCAGCTGCCCTGAGTCCTACGAGGAGAAGGGCGGGATATAAATCCAAATAATAAATAAATAAATAAATAAAATAAAACGTACATTAAAATTACCAGAAACACCAAAAATGAAGGAACACATTCAGTATCAGTCCAGAATTTAAGCCTTCCACCTGTGACGTACAGACATCAAAATATTCCTTTGTGAAAGAGCCAACGTCCTGGCCTTGAATTCTTGCATTGTCGTTCTATGATTGTGCACACTTAAGACTGGATTATTTCAGGTTCCATCGTGATTCACCCATGAAAGTCATTGAGTAACAGAACTCAAAAAAACCACATTTTCTCAGTGTAACCCAGGGGTCTTCAAACTTGGCCCTTTTATGACTTGTGGACTTCAACTCCCAGAATTCCTTAGCCAGCATACACGCTGGCTGAGGAATTCTAGGAGTTGAAGTCCACAAGTCATAAAAGGGCCAAGTTTGAAGACCCCTGGTCTAACCTATCTCACAGGATTGGCATACAGTTTTGAGGTGGGGGAGGGGAAGGGAAACATTTGTAGACTAGTTTGACACCCCAGAATCAAGGTGGCCATGTTTGTTTCTCTAGATCAGGGGTCTCCAAAGTTGGCAACCTTGAAAAAGACTTGTGGACTTCAACTCCCAGCATTCTCCAGCCAGCTGGAGAGGAGTCCCTTATTACTCCACCAGATCTAAAAACTCAAAGCTTAGAGGAGGAGATCAAAGACCTGTGACAATAATGGCATTTTCTTTACGCTGGCCTCCACCCTAGCTCTGCAGAAAAGGCCTTTTGTCACCTGGAGGGTCTATCATCCGTAGGATTATATTCGCCATCATCCAATGTCCCATCTTCATACAAAGTGCTGGCTATCACAAGGCGAAATTTGTCTCCTGAAATGGCAAGGAATGATAAACGTTAGAAGTGAAATCCAAAATGAAAAAGCAAAAAGCCTGTGAATCAGACTCGCCAGACTTAATCCTCAGTGGACGAATGCGCAAAACTAGTATGTCAAGATTCATGACAACATTTGGGAAAGATCCCAGTGCAGGACTTGAAAAGAATTGTGCACGAATGAACAGAACAGGTCTTTCTTGGGGTAAACATCTCAAGAAATAACAAACACTGGAATCTATTACTTTACACACTTATTTACTAAGTTATGGACGTGCTAGATTTGATCAGAATGACTTGGCACGCTTAATTGAGTCAAGCCTCCTTGATTAGGTATTATGATTATTTATTGAGTTTTTATGCCACCGATCTCCCTTACAAAGGATTCTGAGCAGCTTTAGTTCATGATTCAATGCATTATGCAAATCCAGAATATTCTAGATGCTGCTATTATTCTTTCTAGTAATAAGCAAAAAAAAAATTATGTGGTGTCCTTGGTGCTTTCTGTGCTTGGTCGTTTGCTTGTTTTCATACTATTCAACAACAGCAATAAAAAAGGAACCAGAAAGACATGAAAACATCCTCTTCTGCAGCCAACACCCAAATAAGCAGGGATTAACACCAAGCAATCAAGAAAAAAATGAGCCTAATTAAGGAACCAAGGAGACAACCACACCTCACCAACAGCAACAGAGCAAGCTACTGTATATAAACAAAGAATAAACTCCACCCTGAATAGCACTGATGATGTTACCTAATTGGATAATGAAACATCTGCAAGCAAACAAAGAGAGCACCAAAGACTCCACAGTTTAACCCTGAGCTACATATATTAGTGAAAATCTTATGTTAAAGGTCTGAATTTGGTTGCAGGAAAAAAAACACCATCCAAATATATTTTATAAGGATACGGGAACTCAAGAAACACGACTAGGTGTGTGCTCACCAAGATCAACTGGATAGATCTGTACGTTCACATCGAGGATCAGATCCATTTTGAAGGACTCGCTCTCACAGTGCAGCCGGGAAACTAAAGACATGCCAGGAGGTTAGTTGTTGAAAGGTAAAATCTTCAAGAAAGACGTTTACTGCTCAAATTTCACTCCAAAAGTGTGTGAGGCTTAGGGAAAAGCCTCCAGTTCATCCAGGTTTTCTACAGAGTGCTGAAAAATTCTTCAACATTGTTGAGCTGATTACAATAAAATTCTTAGGATTTCCATTTATTTGGGGAACAGATGCCACAAGTTGAAGGAGTACCTATGCACAGCCAGATTTGAAGGCTGCAGTAAAACACAACCTTACTGAGGGAAGACCACTAGTACCTATTCTTAGAATGGGGATAATAAGTGGTACTTTTTTTCTACCACAAGAATCAAACAGGAGGTCAGGAACCCTTAAGAGTCCAGAGTAAATGTCAAAGCTGATTTGGATTCTACCCCTGCCTGCAATTTTCTTCGCAGCTTGACAACAGAAACGGAAGGGAGGAGATGAAAGCCTTGGGGGAAGTTGGGAGGGGCTGAGGAATCCAGAGAGCCAGTTGGGCCCTGTGAAAGTTCCTTCACTTCAAGGTCATGTTATGGCAGGAGTCTTCAAACTTGGCAACTTTAAGACTTGTGGACTTCAACTCCCAGAATTCCTCAGCCAGCTCTGAGGAATTCTGGGAGTTGAAGTCCACAAGTCTTAAAAGTTGCCAAATTTGAAGACCCCTGTGTTATGGGAACTCTTCGAACGGCACAGACTGTTTTCCAAAACACAAAGCAAGCGTTGGATTGGTGAACAATGGACAGTAGGAAGCCTGAAGGGGAAAAGGGAAACTTTATCTATGCTGCTGTCTGTGGAAACTTTTAGAATTGTCTTTATTTTGTCTGAACCTATATGGATTTATCAGTAAAATTATACTCTTGGTAAAATTATGTCCCGGGCGTTTCTTTTCCTGTATATGCTAATGGGACAATGGACATTAAAGTTGGCATTAGTTGTTCCAATAAATGCTTCCTTCAAGGAACCCAGTATGATTAGATGGATTAAAATGGAAAGTCATTTGATGTTTAAGGCTCCTTGGTGGCTGTTTCAAGCAACCAACATGCAATACCCCAATCTGTGATTGGGTTAAAGTAAATAAATGCTAGTCAGAGTAAAACCAAGTTTATACTTCATAAAAAATAACCATATACAGCAGGAACCAAACATTCCAAAAACACAATTAAAAGTAATTACTCATCCATCGGGGTAATCATAGCAGCCCTGTTCTGGCTTGATGGAATAGTCCAGTCTTCATAAATTACCTGACTTATATTTTGCCTTGGTAAAACTACATAATAATAATTCTTTTTTTTTTTAATGCTTACAACAGTGTTTCTCAACCTTGACAATTTTAAGGCATATGGACTTCAACTCCCAGAATTCCACAGCCAGCAATGCTGGCTGTGGAATTCTGGAAGTTGAAGTCCATATGCCTTAAAATTGTCAAGGTTGAGAAACACTGGCTTACAACAACCCTGTGAGGCAGGCTACACAACGAAGGGAAAATATTCTACCCCCTGTGCCGCATCATCCAAATGAAACCAGTTGCTTTCAACCTGCTACTTTCCAGAATGCATTTGCCCCCAAAGCAACGTTTCCAAACCGAGTTCCGTCCTCGGGGATTTCACGGTCACGTCCAAGTCGGCCACACACAAACGACTTCCCAATTTAAAGAGTTTTCGGAACTGTAGCCTCAAACCTCGAGTAATAGGTTAGCACAGTGGTGGCGAACCTATGGCACGGGTGCCAGAGGCGGCACTCGGAGCTCTCTCTGTGGGCACGCGCACCGTTGCCCCAGTCCTCGGCCTTCAGCTGGGTTTTATAAAACCTTTTCGCTTTAGGCCTCCGCTGCTGTGTGCAAAAAAAAAAAGTTTCAATCAATCAGTCAATTTCAACTTCTCACGGGGAAAAAAAAAAAGATCTTGCAAAGTTGGAATTGATTGATTGAACTTTTTAGTCCCACCCAGTCTGCTGTTACCACGCCCACCCAGTGGGCCACACCCACCTAATGGGCCACACCCACCCGGCACCCGACGATGCATAAGTGGGTTTTGGGTTGCAGTTTGGGCATTCGGTCTCTAAAAGGTTCGCCATCACTGGTTTAGCAGCTGGCCTCAAATCAAAAACATCAAGAGACACGACTCTCCTGCGGAGGACCCGTGGCTGGTCAGCACGGCGAAGCCTGCCCTACCTCACAGGGCTGTTGTTGTGGGTAAAGCAGGGAGCAGAACCACCAAGGCCTCCTCGAAAGCAGAACAAGCAAAACGGAGGGATAGTTTGGGGAGGAGGAGGGAAACGAGACTGCGTCTGAGCCCCACCCCGGTCGAATTTCTTGCCCTCGGGGTCGATATCCTTCACGTCGAAGATGTCTTCGAAGAGGATGCCCGCCATGGCGCGGAGGAAGAGCAGGCCAAGCGCAAGATTTAAACGGGGAGGGGGCGAGCCGAGGGCCACACCAGCCCTCTGCTAGGAGCCAGAGCAGCTACACAACTCCACGAGAAACGCACGTGAAACATCCACACATCCAGACACTGCATGACCCAGACAGTCGCGCTCTTCCGCTTCCGGCGCAGGCGCCCGACGATGACGTCAGAGGCTTGAAGGCGGCCCAGCCGTATCGTTCCGGGCGCGAGAGAGGCAGAACGAAAAAAAAAGAAGAGAGAGAGCAGCGCCTCCAGAGGATCCGGATGTCTTTGAGCTGCGCACGCGCAGACGTTGCCCTGACGCTCGGAGCCAAAGGGATTGCCCGCCCTCCTTTAAGGCGCCCATGAAAATCTCGAATATTTGTATTCCTGTTGAAAAAAGCCTATTATCGCTATTGGCGGGGAGAGGGGGAAGAGTCTATTTTAAATGTATGAGCTTTGCCTCTCGCAAGGACTCCTCCTTCTGGGCAGCCTTGACTGGAAATGATGGGAGTTGTAGTGCCACATTGGCGTGAATCTCCCTGCAAAGACGTGCCTTACCCAGCAGGTTGGCAATGGACCTCCTCCACAAAGCTGATGGAAGAATGGACAGGAGAGGAACTATTAGTATAAGTGAAGTATTAGTACCGCTTTGTAAAGCCTTAGTAAGGCCACACCTGGAATACTGCATCCCAGTTTTTTGGTCACCACACTACAAAAAAGATGTTGAGACGTCGGAAAAAGTGCAGAGAAGAGCAACTAAGAAGATTAAAGGCCTGGAGACAAAAACATATGAACGGTTGCAGGAATTGGGTTTGGCTAGTCTAGAGAAAAGAAGGACTGGGTGACATGATAGCAACATTCCAGTATTTGAGGGGCTGCCACAAAGAACGGGTGTGTGTGTGTGTGTCAACTTATTTTCTAAAGCACCAAAAGGCAAGACAAGAAAGATGGAAACTAATCAAGGAGAGAAGCAACCTCTTTGTGGCAGCCCCAAATATTGGATCAATGCTATCATATCACTCCTTCTTTTCTAATCAAGGAGAGAAGCAACTTAGACAAAGCAACTTTGTCTTCTTAATCTCCTAGCTTCAACCTTCCTGATGGTTTACATCTGCATTTGTACAGAGCTGGCTTCTGCTTGGGACAGAGAGACTCGGGGGCAGGGTTGGTTTCTGCTTTTAAAATCCTTTTGAGGAAATATATTTTTCTGCCCTTTTAATATTTCCTTCTCTGGGGGGCTGACTTCCCACAGCACGAATGACTAGACTCAAATTATTACACTGGACATATTATAAAAACACCCAGCTCTCTGCAGAAGGCTCTAATGCTGGGGAAAATGTAAAGAAAGAGAAAAGACAACGACCAGCAGCAAGATGGAGTTATAGTGACAAGGAACTGGGAGCCCTGGGAAAGCAGGCATGGATAGATCGCCATGAAGAAAATCTATGGGTTTTCTAAAAGTTGATAATGACTTGATGGCACATGACCAATCATAATAAAACTGACAATTTGGAAATTAACGGTGTGATTTTGGGCCAGTCTCTCTCTCAAAGCCCAATCAATAAACAATTTATGGCAAGTTCACCCATGACTTCTGTCTGTTCAGGGGAAGAAATGCTGGTTTCATGTTGGTTTCATGTTCTGCATCTTAAGATACATCTGCAGTTGTTTACAACTGAATGAACTCACTGCTGCCCACCAGCCCATTGGAAAAGCCCCCAATTGTCCTGTATCCTATCTGAAACTACAAAAACAAGGGATATCCAGAAAAGGGTGTAAACTAAAATATCATTATGTGTCTGATGGACTTTGGCTGAATCCCAAATCAGTTACGACTGCTTATCGTGGGTAGATCTGTTTGCAAACACAGAGTTGCAACCCTTGAGTACAGAGTCAAGTCAATAAGGTGAATTTTTTTTCTCCTTAGTGCAGGGATGGGCCTGGGTCCCTCCAGACCCCCTTTTGTGGCCCTCAGAGGCATCCAACCATGATTGCTGATAAGTGACAGCACAGCTCTCACCATGCATTGTGAGATGTATAGGTCAGGATGTATGCTGGCTCAGGAATTCTGGGAGTTGAAGTCCACGAGTCATAAAAGAGCCAAGGTTGCCTATCCCTGGTATAGGTAGTCCTTGACTTAGGATCACAATTGAGCCCAAAATTTCCACTGCTAAGCAAGACAGTTGTTAAGTGAGTTTTTTGCCCCGTTTTACAACCTTTTTCACCACGGCTGTTAAGTGAATCACTAGGGTTGTTAAATTAGTAGCATGTTAAGTGGCTCCCCTTTGATTTTGAGGTTGCAAAAGATGATCAATGACTGGGACACCACAACCGTCCTAAATATGAGCCAGTTGTCCAACTTTTAATCCCATGACCATGGACATGCTGCCACGGTCACAAAGTGTGAAAAACGGTCCTAAGTCACCTTTTTTTTTTTTTTAGTGCTGTGATATCTTTGAATGGTCACTAAATGAACAGTTGAAAATTGAGGACTATCTGTATGTCCCAACTAGAAAGCAAAGCCAATTGCCAAAATTCACACTTTAAGAGTAACCCTATCTATATTTGTGATGGATATTCCTCCAGTTTGTAGCCTTGAGCAGCTCCAGATGAACCCTAAGAGCAGGGGTCCTCAAACTTGGCCACTTTAAGTCTTGTGGATTTCAACTCCCAGAATTCCCCAGCCAGCCTGGCTGGCTGGGGAATTCTGGGAGTTGAAGTCCACAAGTCTTAAAGTGGCCAAGTTTGAGGACCCGTGCCTAAGAGAGTATTTAGCCCTGACTTAGCAATTGAAATCTGACAAGTAAAGTTCTCTCCCCTCTTCAAATGTTTACACCAATAAAGCTTTAATATGGTTCTCCACCCCCCTCTATTTTGACAGTGTACTGTAGTTAGTTTTTTTAAGAGAAAGGCTAAAATTGAAAGTCTCCGTGTATTTAACAGTAGAGCTATTCATTGGTTTCCTGCCTTGGGCTTCTGCACAGGCAGAAATTCTTCAAGAAAACAATGCACATGGGATGATACCCAAATATTTCTCCCTATTGAATTTTTACATTGGGACTAGAGTGTTGTGGGTGGGCATAATTTAATTAACCGTTCTGTATTACTACCCACATTGACAAAGGTCCACACCCCTCTGAAAGCCATCAATTACAAAAGGACAAAAACAGGAGAGGTAGATTTGCACATCACGATGTCCCAATGTGGAGTTTTTATATGGTTTACAATTTAATGTGTAGTGTGATGCCAAGCCAAGACGGATTTATTCCATAATAAATGCAATAAGCCTACCTTTTTCAAAGTATTTTTTCCCCCTCTGGCATTGACTGAGGACTTTTATGAGCCCATCTTGAATGCTTTTCTTTGGTTGCTGAATCGCCCTTTTGTTATGTTATATATGCATTATTTATATTTATGTTATGATATTTTCATTCTGGTTTCTTTCATGTATAGTCCTGATCCGTGTTGAAAGTAGAGATTTGTGTTTTCTCCACAACAATGTGAGGTGAGTTGGGCTGAGAGACAGGGACTGTATCTATAGCATCTAGACCAGGGGTAGGCAACCTTGGCTCTTTTATGACTCATGGACTTCAACTCCCAGAATTCCTGAGCCAGCCATGCTGAGGTGAAAGGGAGAGGTTTCCAAGCTGAGCCATGCTGGCTCAGGAATTCTGGGAGTTGAAGTCCACGAGTCATAAAAGAGCCGAGGTTGCCTACCCCTGATCTAGACCAGTGTTTCTCAATCTCAGCAACTTTAAGATATGTGGACTTAATTCTTAGAATTCCCCACCCAGAATGATAGTTGGGGAATTCTGGGAGTTAGAGTCCACATATCTTAAAAAGTTGCTAAGGTTGAAAAACACTAGGTCTATGTACTGTATCTATAGATCTACATTCCTTTTTGGTATGTTTTTACATAGTGTGCACATATACAAGTACCCATATATACACATGCACAAATATTATCCATATACATTATACACACACAAGACACACAAATATATCCATAATCCATTAACTATTGCACGCTGCCTACAGTCACTTTTTTTGTGCCACTGTTGTTAAATGAATCACTGCAGTTGTTAATAACTGTTGCTAAGTCTGAGTCTGGCTTCCCTTTGACTTTGCTTGTCAGAAGGTTGCAAAAGAGGATCACGTGACCCCGGGACACTGCGGCCGTCATAAATATGAGTCAGTTGCAGAGTGTCTGAATTTGGATCACGTGACCATGGACATGCTGCAGTGGTCGTTAAGTGTACAAAATACACGTAAGTCAATTTTTAGTGCTGTTGTAACTTTGAATGGTCACTAAATGGTCACCAAATAAACTGTTGTAAGTTGAGGGCTAACCTATTAGGGTCTTGCAAGAATACTGTTCTCCCCTGCAGGGCAAGGTATACTAACTAAAACACTGATCTCCGGGACAAAAAAGTTTTATTAAAATACTAAGCTTTCGTTAGCAACTGCTAACGTTGTCAAAGTTGCTAACGAAAGCTTAGTATTTTAATAAAACATTTTTGTTCCGGAGATCAGTGTTTTAGGAATATACCTGGGACTCAAATTTTGAGAATAATTGCACATTCTGTCTGTCTGTCTGTCTGTCTGTCTGTCTGTCTGTCTGTCTGTCTGTCTGTCTGTCTGTCTATCTGTCTATCTATCTATCTATCTATCTATCTATCTATCTATCTATCTATCTATCTATCTATCTATCTATCTATCTATCATCTATCTATCATCTATCTATGCAATTATTCTAAATATATATATATATAAAATGTGTATGCAGGTCTTGGCATATTTGGGTCTTTTCCCGTGTAAGATTGAGAGTATCTTGGTGACGTCGAAACGTCACCAAGATAATCTCAATCTTACACGGGAAAAGACCCGAATACGCCAAGACCTGCATACCTGTCCCCGTGAAAATCTACAAAAACAAAATGTGTGTATATATATATATATGTGTGTGTGTGTGTGTGTATATATATATATTATGTATATATGTGTGTATATATATATATATATATATATATATATATATATATATATATATATATATATATATATATATATATATATATATATATATATATATATATATATATATATATATATGTAGATATATGCATACACACACACATATACATATAATATGTAAATGTATATATATATATACTGTATGTATATGTGTGTATATATAAATCTATATACATGCACACACATGAAAACACACACACACACGTATTTTATATATAGTAAACTACACCCTGTATGGAACAGCTGTTGCAAGTAGTAACATATTCGGAACCCAGCTGCTGGCGCCTTCTTTCGGTTGTTTTCGCTCTTGGCTGTTCGGGAAGCAACAACCCTGGTGAGGGTCGTTTTCTCTCTCCCCGCCCCCCCCCCCTTTCAGCTTAGTACCTTCCATTCACTCCCGGCTCGCGGGCCTTGCGGGCCGGTCCAAAGGGCTCTCCGCGGGGGGGTGAGGCAGTTGCCGGCAACCCGGCCAGACCGCCGCGGCTTCCCCGCTCCAGGTCGCCCCAAGGCCGCCGGGTCGGAGGGAGGGAGGGAGGGAGGTGCCGGCAAACCGAGCGCGCCCGTGCCAGGTGCGCCGCGTAACGAGCCGGAGGAGGCGCGAGGGGGCCGGGCGGGGATGCCCGGGTCCGCCGCCCTATAAGCGCCCGGTCGAGGCCGGCCCGGCAGCAGTTCCTCCCCGAGCCCCTCGCTCCGCATCTGTTACTCGGGCAGCGCCGGGAGCGCATGGATGGATCCCCAACGGAAGAAGAAACGGACCGGCTTCACCATCGGGCTGCTTTTCCTCTCCGGAGGGATCGAGTACGGTAGGTTTAGTTCCGGGGGGGGGGCGGTGAGTGGATCACTGGGGAGCAGGCTTAGGGGGCGAGGGTAGCAGGAGGCGGGGTCCTCGGGGCAGATTTACCTAGGGTTTAGCCTCGCTGTCTGCGACCTGGAGGGCATCTTTTTGAACTCGGAACAGGGCTGGAGGGGACCTTGGAGGTCTTCTAGTCCAACCCCCTGCTCAAGCAGGAGATCCCTTACCATTTCAGACAAGGGGCAGTCCAATCTTTTCTTACACATGTCGTATATAGTATGTTTTAGGTGTGCTTCACTTCGAGAGTGGGCAGCTAAATTTCACTTTTGATGTGTGCCGTTGTGCCCACAGTAAAAAAAAAAATGACAATAAAGGTTATCTTAAACTAATCAAGGAGAGAAGCAACCTGGCATGAAGGAGAAACTTCCTAACAGTGAGAGGAATTAACCAGTGGAACAGCTTGCCATCAGAAGTTGGTGGGTGCTTCACCACTGGAGGTTTGTAAGGGTGACAGGATAGCAGTGATCCAATATTTGAGGGGCTGCCACCAAGAAGAGGGGGTTAAATTATTATCCAGAGCACCAGAGGGCCGGACAAGAAACAATGGTTGGAAACTGACCAAAGAGAGAAGCAACCTGGAACTAAAGAGAAATTTCCTGACGGAACAATTAATCAGTGGAACGACCTGCCTCCAGAAGTTGTGGGTGCTCCATCACTGGAGGTTTTTAAGAAGAGACTAGATAGCCACATGCCTGAAATGCTATAGGGCAGGGGTAGGCAACCTTGTGGCTGTGCTGGCTCAGGAATTCTGGGAGTTGAAGTCCACGAGTCATAAAAGAGCCAAGGTTGCCTACCCTGGTATAGGGTCTCCTGCTTGAGCGGGGTCCAAGACCCCTTCCAGCTCTAATCTGATTGATTAAAAGCCTCCAGTGATGGACATCCACAACTTCTGAAGGCAAGCAGTTCCACTGGTTAATTGTCCCCACTGTTAGGAAATTTCTCCTTAATTGCAGGTTGCTTCTCTCCTTCATAAGTTTCCATCCATTGTTTCTTGTCCTGGTCTTCTTTGTGCCAGGTTCCTGTGCATTACTCCGGGCAGGAGAAAGTGGGATGGAACTGAAATATAAAATATGAATTAGGTTAGAGTTAGGGCTCCTTACCTCTTTTTAGTGGGGTAACTTTGCCGCTGGGTATCCCCAGATTTTTGGAAGGATGCTGCACGGAAGGACACTCAGCTTCACCAAAGGCTTGGAGCAACGCTGCTCAAACTTGGCAGCGTTAAGATGTGTGGACTTCCAACCCCCAGCTTTGCTGGCTGGGGGATTCTGGGAGTTGAAATCCACACGTCTTAAAGTTGACAAGGTTGAGCAACACTGGATTAGAGGACCAACTTTCTTGGTTAACACTGTAGGTTTGTGGCTGCACGCAACGTTTAATTTAATCCATGTTCTGGATTGCCAAAAGATCTGGATCTGTAACTGAATGAGCAAGGTTTTTCCACTGCTTTTCCTAACAGGTCTGGATAGTTTTATTTATTTTGATCCCACCTGTATTATGTTTATATTTTGATCCCGCCTTTATTTTGTTTATAAATAACTAGGGTGTCAAACATACCTAATGCTCCTCCCTCCTCCACATTTCTCCACAACAATCTTATGAGGTGAGTTGGGCTGAGAGAGAGGGACTATCTAGCCCAAAGTCAACCAGCCAGCTTTCCTGCCTCAGGCAGGATTAGAACTCACAGTTCTTGGTTTCTAGCCTAATGCATTAATCACTAGACCAAACTGGCTCTCTCTTTCTCCTAGGAATTAATTATTATGCTGGAATTTCATGTTTTCTTGTCACACGTGGCTTCCTGGGTGTTTTTATTATGTTATCTAGTTGGATAATTAAAAGTTTGCAAGCAAAGGACCAAACTTGCACAATAGCATGGATTCCCCAATTCAGTCCTGAGTCTCTGATATTCTGTTCTATTCTTCCTAACATTGTTAGTCCGCACCCACATTAGCTTAAAATCCTCTCTAGCAATTCTAGTTTGAATACAGTGCTTATTCTCTTCTCTACTTAATCAAGGATTTTTCATGGATCGTGTGGTTAAGAATAGAGTTAACAGGCTTTCTATGGTTCTGCCAGCAACGGATTTTGCGTAGCCACAATTCTTTTTAGTGAGGATTGCACCTTTTTGCCTCCTGAGTTCAATCTTTGGTGATATTAAGCGCCACCATGATGACTCCAGCTAGGACAGGGGTAGGCAACCTTGGCTCTTTTATGACTCATGGACTTCAACTCCCAGAATTCCTGAGCCAGTATGGCTCAGGTTGGAAACCTCTCCCTTTCCCCTCAGCATGGCTGGCTCAGGAATTCTGGGAGCTGAAGTCCATGAGTCATAAAAGAGCCAAGGTTGCCTACCCCTGAGCTAGGATGTGCAGGCCTGTCATAGTTGCACCCCTTTTATGGCTGTCGACTGACTACTTCTGACTGCTGTTGGCCATGAGGTGAAAACTTTGAATTCCTTCGTTACTTATGGGAATTGCTTCCCATGCCTTAAAGCAGAGGTCCCCCAACTTTTTGGGCACCAGAGACCGGTTCCGTAGAGAGAACTTTTTCCGCGGACCGGAGGGTGTGTGGTTTTGTGTGCTGCCTGCATCCCACAGATGGGGCTTTGCTTGTTTGTGCGGACCGGTTGCTGGCATGCCGCGGCCCGGTACCGGTCTGCGGATCGGGGGTTGGGGACCCCTGCCTTAAAGCAAGGGTTCTCAATCTTGGCAACATTAAGATGTGTGGACTTCAACTCCCAGAATTCCCCTGCCTTTGGGACCTAATGCAAGGCACACCTTGCTTGTAATTGTTATGGTTTGCCGTATGCCCCTTTATGTCTATTGCTTGTCAGCCAGGCTATTTATAAACCCACATTCAGCATTTGTCAGCTATATGAGTTGACTGAGGAGGAAACTGACTCTGCAGGAAGACTAGAGCTCTGTTTTATTGAGATAGGGCAGAGGTGGGGAAGGATGGTCCTTTTATGACTTATGGACTTCAACTCCCAGAATTCCTGAGCCAGCATGGCTATAGGAATTGTAGTCCACAAGTCCTAAAAGGGCCAGAGTTCCCCACCCCTGAGATACGGATAGCAGCAAAATTGTGCAAGTCTGCTTGTGTTTTTCCTTTGCCTCCCTCTTACTCTATACCCAAGGAATCAAGAGGGAGCCAGTCTGAACCACTTTTTTAATACTTTCCTATCTCTCTGAAAACCAAGATCATGGCATCCGGCCCTCTCACTTCCTGGCAAATAGATGGGGAAGAAATGGAGGTAGTGACAGATTTTATCTTCCTGGGCTCCAAGATCACCACAGATGGGGGACTGCAGCCAAGAAATTAAAAGACACTTGCTCCTGGGGAGGAAAGCTATGGCAAATCTAGACAGCATACTAAAAAGCAGAGACATCACCCAGCCAAGAAAAGTGCGTATAGTCGAGGCCATGGTTTTCCCAGTTGCAATGTATGGATGTGAAAGTTGGACCATAAGAAAGGCTGAGTGCCAAAGAATGGAGGCCTTTGAACTCTGGTGCTGGAGAAGACTCCTGCGAGTCCCCTGGACTGCAAGGCGATCAAACCGGTCAGTCCTAGAGGAGATCAACCCTGACTGCTCTTTAGAAGGCCAGATCCTGAAGTTGAAACTCAAGTACTTTGGCCACCTAATGAGAAGGAAGGACTCACTGGAGAAGAGCCTAATGCTNTTTTCATGGATCGTGTGGTTAAGAATAGAGTTAACAGGCTTTCTATGGTTCTGCCAGCAACGGATTTTGCGTAGCCACAATTCTTTTTAGTGAGGATTGCACCTTTTTGCCTCCTGAGTTCAATCTTTGGTGATATTAAGCGCCACCATGATGACTCCAGCTAGGACAGGGGTAGGCAACCTTGGCTCTTTTATGACTCGTGGACTTCAACTCCCAGAATTCCTGAGCCAGCCTGGCTCAGCTTGGAAACCTCTCCCTTTCCCCTCAGCATGGCTGGCTCAGGAATTCTGGGAGCTGAAGTCCATGAGTCATAAAAGAGCCAAGGTGGCCTACCCCTGAGCTAGGATGTGCAGGCCTGTCATAGTTGCACCCCTTTTATGGCTGTCGACTGACTACTTCTGACTGCTGTTGGCCATGAGGTGAAAACTTTGAATTCCTTTGTTACTTATGGGAATTGCTTCCCATGCCTTAAAGCAGAGGTCCCCCAACTTTTTGGGCACCAGAGACCGGTTCCGTAGAGAGAACTTTTTCCGCGGACCGGAGGGTGTGTGGTTTTGTGTGCTGCCTGCATCCCACAGATGGGGCTTTGCTTGTTTGTGCGGACCGGTTGCTGGCATGCCGCGGCCCGGTACCGGTCTGCGGATCGGGGGTTGGGGACCCCTGCCTTAAAGCAAGGGTTCTCAGTCTTGGCAACATTAAGATGTGTGGACTTCAACTCCCAGAATTCCCCTGCCTTTGGGACCTAATGCAAGGCACACCTTGCTTGTAATTGTTATGGTTTGCCGTATGCCCCTTTATGTCTATTGCTTGTCAGCCAGGCTATTTATAAACCCACATTCAGCATTTGTCAGCTATATGAGTTGACTGAGGAGGAAACTGACTCTGCAGGAAGACTAGAGCTCTGTTTTATTGAGATAGGGCAGAGGTGGGGAAGGATGGTCCTTTTATGACTTATGGACCTCAACTCCCAGAATTCCTGAGCCAGCATGGCTATAGGAATTGTAGTCCACAAGTCCTAAAAGGGCCAGAGTTCCCCACCCCTGAGATACGGATAGCAGCAAAATTGTGCAAGTCTGCTTGTGTTTTTCCTTTGCCTCCCTCTTACTCTATACCCAAGGAATCAAGAGGGAGCCAGTCTGAATCACTTTTTTAATACTTTCCTATCTCTCTGAAAACCAAGATCATGGCATCCGGCCCTCTCACTTCCTGGCAAATAGATGGGGAAGAAATGGAGGTAGTGACAGATTTTATCTTCCTGGGCTCCAAGATCACC